AAATTATGAAAGATTTTGAACGTTAATAACTCAGCTGCCCATGGGCCAATTTCAATAATGTTATCACCAATCGATCAGTAATATTTCTACGCATCTGTTAAACTTAAGATATTATCATTTTTAAAAATTTCACTATTGAAAATTACACGAATGTGCAACTGTTGCTGCGAAAAGCGATTTCCTTAACACAGATTTCAAAGTTGAATTCCATCCGGTCTCACCGCGTGGTGGGTGGTGGTGTTCTCCAGTACACAACGAAAGACTGCATGCAAGCAGCGAGCTGCAGCCCACATGAGCATTCATAGAAGGAGGAAGAAGCTGCACCGCTATTGATCGGAATCAGTAGCTCTTTGTGAGTTGCTGTGGGCCATATATGTCAAGCGCGTCATACTAAAGACTGTAAACAGAGAGAACCCCGCTCAAATTCCTATTTCTACACAAAACACAAGCTCCTGCTGCAGTTAACAAATAAGATTTATTATATAAGACCACGTAGTCCTATGTACGTCACCATTGCGTACAACCCCATAAGGCTGTTCTTTGTAGTTTTTTTCGAGAAAAATTTCAAAATTATTTAAAAACCTTAACCTTACAGAATTTGAAATATTACAAAGTCGTCATGATTTTTATGGAAATCTGTAATAGAATCATAAATTTCCCGGATTGGTGTAGCTGTGGGACATAACGGACAGCCCTCGGTAATTCATTGTGTAATGTAGAAAATCGAAGAACTGCCAGGCGTCACCACCTTTTTGAACAAGAAACTGCATGGCTTCCAAGCTTCTCAAAACCGTACCACTCGCAACACATAGCAATCAAGAAAAATTACCGTCTTTCACCTATATCTAATTCTAAAGATTAAAAGTTGTGCCCGCCTTCAACTCACACGACGGCACATAGTGGACCGTCAGTGTGAAATGACGGTCAAAAGTCATCATCTCGTGAATAGTGCATTTTAAACAAGTGGTGTCTTCATGAACATTCCTGCATATGAACAGTCCCTTCTTTTGACATGAACAGATCGATCGCACCCCAAAAGGCCTGGGTTTCAATCGCAGTCGGCGCCGCCAGGATTTTCTGAGGCATAAAATCTCAGACGATGCCTTCCTTCGGAAGGGAAGTAAAGCCGTTGGTCCCCGGTCTGTTAGTTGATGGGACGATGGGTAGCAGCGTTGCCAGGTCATTTTCAGAAAAATCAGGACCAGTTAAAATATAAAATCTGGAAAAATCTGGAATGCTCTTAAAAGTCCTGTTTTTAACATAATGCTATTGAAATCAAATTGATGTACCAATCTTCCGTAAAAATCGGTCAGTATAATCATCTGGAATTTATTGAAAGTACCAGAATGTTTATGAATTACATGTTTAAATAAATTATATCAAGCAAATAACTTGTTAGCATCAAAAAGTTAGGAAAAGTATTGGCACAATGTGCCCAAAAAGTTTAAATATCAATTTCACAGAATTTCAAAAAATGAGTTAAATTTTGGGTTAAATGCTGCAGAAAATATGTTATAACTGTAACTTGAGAAGCAAGGAATCAAGCAACTTTGATGAGATGATTTTTTTAAAATAATAGTCTATTTGATGCAGTACCAGAATATGTTTGAAAGATTTTATTAGTTCTGAACTACAGTGCTGCAAAATCTCGACAGTACACGGTGATATTGACAATTCTGCTTTGGTCACTCATTTGAGCTAACAGTCATAGTCAAGGCAAACCATGTCAATTGTCAATGACAATGCTGTCAGTGACGAACATGTGTAGATTTTTATATTAACTAAATTTGTAACGAAACTAAATGACTTGAGCAAAACAGTTACATGGAACCATTTTAGTGAACAAGCATCTACGTCTTGAACTACTTGGATAACAATAATGTGACACATAATGTACTAGATTACACGATTTGTTACCAGGCGAATCTTTGTCATTGACGAAAAAATGAATGAAATTTTGACGAAGGTTTTTTTGAGGATCAAGTCGGTCAGTGACTATGTGCCGAACAATTTTGTCAATATCACGTCAATGAAAATGACAAATCTCAGCACTGCTGAACTATTCTGAGGTTGATCAGACTTACAATTTAACTTTTCACAGGATATCTTCGTCATTTTTTTCAGAGTTCCCTTTGAATCATCCTAGAATTCCATCATACTTCTTTTCTGGATTCTCCTAAAATAATCTTGATAATCTCCAAACTTTTTCAGCAGCATTCTAGGGGTTCTCAGGAAAACTCTCTTGGTACGCATTATCTCTTGTAATTTCTTAGATATCATTCTACAATTCCACAATTCCCTCAAACTGGTAATAATTCCCAATAATTCGCATTATTTTGTCTCAATTTTCTCGATGAAATTCGCTTAGAATATTGTTAAAAATTTTACTCTTCAGAATGACCGTTACACTCTTACTTAATATTTAATTAAAATGAATCTCCCTAGAAACCTTGGGCAGAATTCCTTTGAAATTATTTTCTCGATTCGCATCAGCATACTCATTGCATTCCTCCCAGATTTCCTTACAAATTCTCCCAGCAATTCCTTGAATTTGCCATGAACGTTCCTTAAGGTGATTCCTTGTAGAGTCCACAAATGGCCACCACGTAGGCTATAAATGCATTACCACCTAGAATTTTCAATTACACACATCTCCGAAATTATAGTTCCATTTCACCTGAAATTTCTACTGCATGTACGCTGCAGCGCAGCAAACGTAGAGTAACAGTTTCATTGTAGTAAGTGTCGTGGAAGCTGATATTTGTGCACTTAAAGTTTCGAAGTGGTAGCGAGAATAAGGATCTCACAGCGAACCACCTTAAGTATCATCATAAGAATTTTCTATGAATTCTTTTCCGAATTATATTTAATTTCTTCGCAAAATTGCCAAGCATTTGTCATCAGAGCTATGGAACTCTACTCAGAATAAACTTGAAATCCTCGTATGATTTCACAAGGATTTCACTTCACGCTATACTTAAAATTATGAAATTCTAGGGCAATTCAGAATTCTAAAGTAATTCAGACTGCTAACTCAATATTCACAGGTACTTCAAAAAATGCCTTTTAAATTCTTAAATTACATCCTAAAAAATCTCAAGAACATACTTCAAAATCCTGGTAGTTGTCTAGATTCAAAAGCCTTGCTAATTTTCCAAAGCTCAATGTATTGTTTTCAATCCCAAACAGTTTTCGATTTCTCTAAATTGCAAAATTATGAAAATTTCCGCATATTGAACTTTTGATTTTCTAATCCAGGATTAAAAAAAAAAAAAAAAATTATAGCCAAAATCAAACCAATAAGAATCCAGGCCACAAATTTTAAAAAAAATATGAAGGGTTTTTTCTGCCAATAATCTTTGTCTCAATTTTCATGATTCTGCAACCCATTAACATGCAAACATGTTGTAACAATTCCATGTGCGGTGTTGCAATAATTGTCAACATTGATGACCTTTAATAATTATAGTAGTAAGTTTAACTTTTTTTTTAGAGGGTAAAGCAATTTGTTAAAAAAAAATCTGGGAAAATCTGGAACATATTTAAACATCTGGAAATATACGTGGTCTGTCTGTGTATCTGGCAAGACGACTAAAAATCTGGAAAATCCAGATAAATCTGGAATACTGGCAACGCTGATGGGTAGGGTCCAGGTGTGGGAGCTGCCTCCCTGGCGTCGGTAGCATTGGTACTTAGTACGGAAAACAAGATCGACGGAAAATAAACCAAGAAAAAAAAAACAGATTTTTTTTAGCTAAATCAATAATAACTTAGGGGCCGTTCATTAACTACGTAGACAGTATTTTTTTGGGATTCTTGCCCTCCCGCCTTCCCCCTGCGTTGACAATTGTCTATACACAATCTTTACAATTTGTATGGGCCGTGGATAATTACCACCCCTACTGTCTACGTAGTTAATGAACAGCCCCTTATCTATTTAACGATCTACATACCGTGCTATAATATTCATCATATATATGTGTATTGATGTAAAACTTTGTAGAACACTTCAAACCAGTAGAAGTTTATATAAAGCAATTAAAAAGGAAAAACTTTTATTAAGGGAAAAACTTTACATATTTCAATGAAATGAAGAAATAGACAACTAGTGTCTTCTGCAAAGTTTATTGTTTTGATATTTTATAAAGCTTTGGCGGAAACACCGATCCTGAAAATGAAATTTTAGAAAAAATTATATTTTGGATCTCATTTCTAGGGGGATCAATGATTGATCTGTTCATGTCAAAAGAAGGGGCTAAAATCCAGGAACTTTCCCGAAGACAGCACTTGTCTAAAATGCACTATTCACGAGATAATGGGCCTTATTACGAGTGTCACTTCACGGTGAAAATGAAGCGATGTGACCACTTGTCACTCACGGTGAGGTGATTGCCGTGTAAATCAAATGGGAATCACTTCACCGTGAAGTGACATCGGTAACAATGACTTTGACCGTCTTTTCGCAGTTCTGAACCACAGTGCGACGGCGAAGGTGTTTATTGTGACGCTGCCGACGAAAAGGACTGCATAAAAATAGAACCTTGTTAAAATGCCAACGTTCCACGAAACCTTCCCAGTCCGCAGTCCCCAGCCTTGCTTCCGGACTTCCGATTTGCCTTTCCCCTTCCCCAACAGGCTATGATGTCTGGCCTGGCCCAGCCATTATTTCTACTTATATGAGCACGCGAGCCAACTCCTGAGGCTGAGATCAAAAGGGGCTTTTCAAGCCACATAAATCACGAGAACTTGCACCGTTCGGCGTGATTAATGTGAATTGGGGAGGACCTTCTTCCATGGGGTGCTATTACGACTTATTCAGGCGGAAAAAATGAAATGTAATGGAACCGTCCAGGAGCTGCTGGAATGATGATGTTAAATCAAAAGTGTTGCGTCCGTTTTAGATTTTCCTTTTATTGTTTATTGCGATAGTTAATATAGAAAAAAAAACCCCCGTCAAGGTCATTGGAATTACATTGAAAATGTATATCTTTTGCTTACAGTATGATGTTCGGAATTGGAACCAAGAAGGCACGGTTGCATGTGAACGCCTTCACCAATCTACTCGGAGAGGACAAAAACGGATGGGGCCTGTCGCACAAAGGACTTCTGTGGCACGGTGGCGCGGCCCGGAACTACACCAAGCGGTTCAAGGAGAATCAGGCTACCAGGATTGGCATCCTGTTCGATGGGATCGCTGGGACGTTGACGTACTACAAGGATGAGGTGTGCCTAGGGATTGCCTTCCGGGGGTTGAATGAGGTGAGTAAACAAGGGTGAAAGACGGTCTTTGAGAGTGACGTGGATTGTCGATTTTCTACTTCTGCAGATCCGAGAGCCCCTGTACCCGATCGTATGTTCGACGGCCGCCAAGACCGAGATGGTACTGACGGAATCGCGGCGAGATTTCGTGAATCTGCAGGATCGCTGCCGGGCGATCATCATCAAACACATCAAAACCCGCGAGAAGCTGGACCGACTGACGCTTCCTTACTGCATTACCAACTATCTGGCCGATGCGCTATCCGATTGCAGCACTCCGGTGATGCCGCTGGAGCAGCAGCTGATCGACTACTATCTGTTCTAGTGTAATCCCTTGGCGCAGAGGGCAGTTCTTCCCAGCTTTTTCTGCCCATTTACGACGGGCATCATTCCAGTGCTAGCTGTTTAATAGTTGTTATTTTGATAGATGAATTCTCAATTTATTATGATTATTGTATACCAATTTTTTGTTGATCTTGTCAAGAAGCCGTACTCCAAAAATGCGAATCAGTTTCGCTTTGAACTAGTCATAGTCTTAGTGTTAGTATTTATTGGCATTATTTATTTGTTGTTTGGTATGGTATTTTTGTCTGAATCGATTCAATGCTTCTAGTCACTGTGTAGACTGATCGAGTACGATCGAATCATTTTGTTTTTCCAAAGCCACAACAAAGCATCATCAAGGTGATTCTGCGTGGCGAAACGAGTGAAATTCTAGTCATTTTGCGGGAACATATATAAGAAAACGCAAATCCAAAATTCTAGGTGTGTGTAATAGAAATCAATCTAGTCTGTAGGCCATAAATCTTCATGCACATACTCGTAAATACATACACTCTATTGGAGCGTATAAATAGTTTACGATGATCTGTAGAGCTCTGTATTATGTAAATGCTAAAACAAGGACGATTGCTTGGCAGAAGCGACGAAAAGACAAAATGTATAGATCCAACAACAGGATAGGAGGTAGTGGCATTCAAACACTAAAACAGAGTTCTAAACCTTTGTGATGTAGCTGTAAATATCGGTGTCGTATATGCAGCAAGTTCAAAAAAGGATATCAAAAGGAGGCAGAGAGATAGAGAGCAGGATATAGAGCGAGCGAAGCATGGAAAGCGGTATGACTGGAGCGATGAATGATTTAGATTTTGCGGAAGCTTTGTGACGGTGATTGCAAGTTTTCTCTAATTGTCTGACGACCGTCGCGAAATGATTGACGATTGAGTAGTGAGCAGTGTGGTTGGCATAGAATAGATGACTGTTGGAGTTCAATTATTTGATGGATCTTCGTGATGTTGATTTGTGTTATTCAGGAGCATTTGTATGAATGTGTTATTTTGGGTGAGTTGTTATGTAGGCAGAACTATATTGGACTATAAATGGTAAAATTTGGCTATTATTTATTAGTTTCAAAATTGACGGAATCGACTGCTGCTAGTGGTTTGCTGGGGTTGCTCTTGAATGATAGTGATATATGATATACAATACTTTTGCATTTACTGTTCTATTGCATTGTACACTAATGCAGTCAGTTTTATTTTTTGCAATGCTCGTGTAAATTTTCATTAATTTCGTCATTCTATCGACATGTTTACATTCCACGGTAAATGCCATCCGCAATACTGCGAATGATTATCGCATTACTCGAGCTCTTTAACAATATGGATTCGAATTTTGGATGATTGTCTTAAGGTTGACTTCGTCGTCAGATGATGAACATCCATATGTCTGTAATCCAAATAAAAGATGGATTTTATTTGAAATTTGAAATTTGATTATGATTGTACATTGGCTTAGCATTTTAATTGATTCGCCTACCCGGCTCTTCATCTTTGTTTCATTGGATATTCTAATTTAATGTTTGCGTTTTTCAACTAGTTTTCAGAATGCCCCTTTGGGGGTGTGTTTTGTTTGAATTGGGAAAAATGAGATAACCTACCTAACTACGAGTATAACTTAACCTAACGTGCACATATGATCTAACCTCAGACAGGTGTCTCTGAACCTTTCCAGGAGGAATACTCTCCGTTCTTCTAATTCTGAATTCCAGTCAGGAGGTGGACCTCAGACTTTCGAGTCCGCGGTGGGGGACCGTTTAGGATTATCATAAGGATCTTGTTCTGGATCCTTTGCAGTTTAAGATGATGGCAGGGCTGGCAAATTTCATTTTCAATGAAAGATCTCACGCGATATTTACAGAGATACTTCTGTCATAGTCATCGGACAGAACGTGACAGTGTTGTGATCATCGTGATTACTAGCTCATTTATTGCTATTAAAGTTTCTTATACAGAGGAAATCTTAAAAATATATTCACTCTAACGATTACATTCGGTTGCTTGCTTAAATTCGTCTAAATCAGTTAGAAATGTTGATGTCAAAACCGCATAAGAATTATTCTCGTGAGTGCTTGATCATTGGAAATTGACAAGAAAGCTCATGATAGGTAGTTTCCCCGAGTAGCACACTTTCATCAAAATAAGTTACAGCAACTTGTTTATGCCTGAAATAAGTCGTATATAAGTTTCTACAATTGATTTCGTCGTCTCGTGATAGTGAGAGGACCTGTTTTCACATTGTCACATGACGACCGTGATATTTACCAGCTCTGATGATGGCATTTAGAACAACTCTCCCAGATTGATCTAAATGCCATACCATCCACAATAACAGGTAGCATTAGTTGTCTATAGACTTACATTACCTTACCAATCAGGGTAAGGCCTTGTTGTCCTCTGCTGTCCGAAGAAGTCGTCTCCACTCTACTCGATCCATGGCCACTTTTCACCAGCCTCGTAGTCTGCGAAGGGTCGCCTTCTACTTGGTCGATCCACCTTGCCCACTGCGTGCCTCTTCTTCTTGTTCCTGTTGAGTCGCTTTCGAAATCCATTTTCACTGGGTCGTCGTGTGGCATTATTATGACGTGCCCAGCCCACTGTAAGCGCCCAATTTTTACAATGTGGACGATGGATGGTTCTCCTAGCAGCTGGTGCAATTCGTGGCTCATTCGCCACCTCCACGATCCGTCATCCATCTGCACTCCACCGTAAATGGTACGAAACACCTTCCGTTCGAAAACACCAAGGGCGCGTTTGGTCCTCCACGAGCATAGTCCAGGTCTTGTGGCCGTAGAGGACCACCGGTCTAATCAGCGTCTTGTAGATAGTCAAGTTCGTGCGGCGGCGAATTTTATTCGAACGGAGCGTCCTCCAGAGTCCAAAGTAGGCACGATTCCCTTCCATAATGCGTCTTTGAATTTCTCTGCTGGTATCATTTTCGGCGGTCACCAGTGAGCCCAAATATACGAACTCATCGACCACCTCGATTTCGTCACCGTCAATCTGAACTCGGGGTGGGAGGGTAACATTGTCTTCCCTAGAACCTCTTCCTTTCATGTATTTTGTCTTCGATGCGTTGATGGCAAGTCCAATTCGCCTAGCTTCAGCCTTCAGTCTGATGTACATTTCCGCCATCATCTCAAAGTTCCGTGCCATAATGTCAATGTCATCGGCGAAGCCGAGAAGCTGGATGGACTTCCTGAAGATCGTGCCACTCGTGTCTATCCCAGCTCTTCTGATCACACCTTCTAACGCGATGTTGAATAGCAGATACGAAAGTCCATCCGTAACCCCCTCGAGATTCAAAAGGACTCGAGAGTGTCCCCGAAAATCGAACAACGCACATCACTCGATCCATCGTTGCCTTGACCAATCGCGTCAGTTTATCCGGAAATCCGTACGTAGTCTGCCATAGCTGATCTCGATCGATTGTGTCGTATGCGGATTTGAAATCGATGAACAAATGATGTGTGGGCACGTTGTATTCGCGTCATTTCTGCAGAACCTGCTGTGAAAATTTGGTCCATGGTAGCGCGGGTACTCATGAATTCCGCCTGGTATTGCCCCACGAACTCTCTTGGAAATGATGTTTAGCTATAGAAAGAAATCTTATTTTTCAGGGATAAGGTGGACTTTCGATTGATAAGCGTATACAGTGATCTTATCAATATGTTACACTTGGTGTTAGTTTTGTCAATGTCAATGCAAAGAAGCTTGCTGTCTAGTGTTAGTCCGAGGTACACAACCTCTTTGGACCATTCCACCACTGAGCCGTTTAAGCATATCTTATTGTTTTCAGACGTCTTGGATATTGGGAATGTGAAAATTTAATGTCCTGGGTCTTCGCCGCATTGATACAGATCTTTCAATTGTTGAAATACTCAGACAGGACATCCAAGCCTCTCTGAAGTTTGGCAGTAAGAGCTCCGATGACCCTTCCCTTGTACAAACTTAGATTTTTTTTGCCGAGATGGACACCACCGAGCAGCCCGGCATTTTATTTTGCTGGATCTCAGTGAAAAATTTGCCGAGATTAAGCATGCTATGCTTGTTAGCTGAGATCTCGGCAAATTTCCCGTGTGTTAGCTAAATCTCTTCAAGTTTTTCACTGAGATCCAGCTAAATGAAATGCCGACCTGCTCGATGGTACTCATCTTGGCAAATTAATCCAACTGTGTAGACGATGGATGTATCATCTGCAAATAGACACAACGTTCCACCATCTGGGAGAGCTGGAATGTCGGACATGAACAAGTTGAAGAGGATGGGCCCAAGCATACTTCCTTGCGCAACGCCCTCACCAAAGTTGAGATACTTGGAATGTCCTGTCTGAGAGGTAATTTTGGATGATCTTCACGAGGAAGATTGGAAGACCGAGGCCATCATGCCAGACATTATCAACGTCTAACAATGCAATGGTAGATGTTTTGAATACCGACTTGTTCCGCCTGAGCATATTGGTTACTCGAGTCAGTTGGTGAGTAGTCGACCTACCTTGTCGAAAACCAAACTGCTCCTCGAATAAGATGTTATTTTCGTCGGCAGATGTTAGAAGCTTTGATAACCCTAAGAGAAGGCTGATAGCTCTGTAGCTGAAGGAAGAGGATGCTTCCCAGGTTTACGGATAGGTATGACTTTAGCTAACTTTCAACCAGGCTTGCTGAAACTCCTCAAAATCACTGGAGGTTTTGAAACACTCTTGTCCTGCGAGTTTAGTCAGCCCTCACCTCGAGTGAGTGGCGGCAGGAATATGGAAGGAGTGATGTGATGTGAATAGAACCCACCATCAGTGCAAGGATTACCTATGACTGTTGCAGCAGGGTAAATCAACTTCATTGAAGACCTTTGGAAGACAAACGACAAGATGTACGTCTATCAACAGGTGACAAGGGACTGGCAAATCCACGAACCCTTGTCCAGTTGTATTCAAAAAAGGGTTATTTAGAGCGAACAATCTTCAACTGGAACGTACTCACCAAATCAATATATCCGGGAGCGCATTCCCGATGCTTAATTTTCTCTATGCATTTCTAAACAACTCCTCCTCCAGCGGATCCAACCACACAATAGCTAAATATCACTTTTCTTCTTCATGTCACTCTGTGCACGCATCGTGAAAAAGACCAGCCCCGATCCTTCAAGTGTACATTTTCAGATTGCACGTTAGCGATGATCAGAGCCAGTTGTCTCATAAAGAGCCGTAGACAGAGATGAATAAGCAGCTTGTGAATAAATGCACTTTGATGTTTGGTTCTGGTAGCAGGTTGGGCAAACGGCCTCCGAAAGATTTTGACCGGATCATCAATCAAATAAAGGAAAAAAAACACAACGACCGACGCAAAATCGACGCTTATCACTTCTTGGATGATTAGATATAAGTTTTGGCAACATACTTTAAAGTATTTTGAAACTATAATAATTGTTCAATTTCCGGAAGGAAGAAACGCAGCTAAAAAAAACAACACGTCAGATTTTCAGCGCAGCCTACTTCAAGCTGAACATTGCATTAGTCGATTTTCTCTTTGCATCCCCACGGCCATGTAAAGACATTCCCAGGTATTTTCAGCACACAGATCGATAAAAGAAGCTTTTATCTAGCATCTAATACGACGAACACATCAAGAAACGGTTCTGTGATCAAGTTATTAACGAAAGAGAAAATCGACGAAGAGAATCGATCAATGTTACTTAGGAACTAATGCAATGTTCAGCTTGACTTGATGGCGACAGGAATATGGAAGAAGTAAACAAAAACTCCTCGAGAGAGAAGGAGAGTGAACTTCAGCGAGAGGATGATTTGACGTGAGATGCGCTTTTCGACACTCACAGTTCAAGAGCCACATGTGAAAAGGGCATACAAGCTTTTTGTAAACAAACCTTTGTAGATCCTCTTCTTGCCAACCGAGGGTCGCCCACGCAAACTAACCACATCATCGGGAAGGGGAAAGCTTCCCCTATCCGGTGATGTTGATGGTTTGCGTTGGTGTCAAGTGGGTGGCGAGAAAAGGGCATAATAAGGTTTGTTTACAAAAAGCTTGTATGCCCTTTTCACATGTGGCTCTTGAGTTCACCCAGAGTGAGAGTAAGAGCTGTGATAGAAAACATGAACGAATGGCAGCAGACCTCACTGTCATTTTATCCTCCCTTCGCTCTCACGCTCTGAAGCTCAGTGGAATGATTTGGTAGCAAGCATTCTACTCCTCAGAAAAATGCTACGCTCGGCTCATTTCAAACTCGCGAGCGAGACTCCATCAAGCCTGCTTTCAACGCGAGCCAAGCCAGGTAATCTTGTGTTTGAGCTCTAGACTCAAGGTGTTATCGAAACTTAAATTCTTCATATTTTTGGAAGATTTGGTATAAGCCAACAGTTCGTCAGCCGAAATCTCTGAAACTTCGGGGTAGTTGTTGGGAATCAAATGGAGGTTGGTTGCGTTTTCAGAAACAGTAGTCTCATGTGGACTAATCATGTTTTGTCCGAGATTATGGGAGCTGACGATGTGTTAGCCAATCACAGCAGCCTTCTCAACAGAAGTGTATCAGATGAACCACTGAATCATCGGGACGTGGAACCAGTGGTGAAATGGGTTTGGGCTTAGTTTTTGAGATTCTGGTTAGCTTCCAGAAAGGCTTTGTACAATCTAGGAGAGAACGGATCTTATTGGCAAAACCGTTATTTCTGAGATCCACCATCCTGGCCTGAATGATCTTAGTTAATCGATTGCAATTGGTCTTCAAGTTAGGCAGACCAGTATGCTGGTACTGCCTACGAATGGTGTTACGGAGTCTACTGAGGTCTATAGTAGAGCTGTCAAGGTTCAGCGTGTTACTCACCTTGGCCCGGGAAATCGCCTCCTCGATGGTATGTAGACACCGGTCAACATCTTCGGACGTCTCCGGTTGGACGTCGTAGTCGATGGTTGTGTCGACGCAGTGTTGATATTGAGCCTAGTTGACACGATGGTAGTTGCGCCGGGAAGCTTCGAATCGGTTTACCGAGGAACCAACTTCGGCCACCACCGGATAGTGGTCCGAGCTGAGTTCCTGGTAGGTGATAGGTTGAGCGATGTTGTTGCCCATGTTGCTGATGAAGCTATCGATGGTAGCGTGAACACCGGAACGACTCAACCGGGTGGGAGTGTCCGGACTCAAGATGTTGTACTGCGTTTCCTGCAGGTCATTGTACAGGATGGTGTCATTTTGGTTGCACCGACTGCTGCCGACCCATCTCTGATGTTGACTTGATTGGGGCAGTATGCCGCAGCGATGGTGATGGAGCCGACAGGAGTAGGAACTTCCACCCCTACGGCTTCGATAATCTTCAGTTGGGAGCTTGGCAGCAGCTGACAGTTGATGTTCGTCCTTAGAGCGATGGCCACTCCTCCTCGATCCAGCCTCACAAGCCAAAAATTTGGAAAGAAGACGTTAATCTCGGGCTTCAGGTGTGTTTCGCTGATGATAGCGATATCGATGTTTCATTTGTTGAGGCATTCAACGAACTCGATGCTCCTGCTCCTGAGTGAGCAAGCGTTCCAATTTGCTATTTTGATGGCTTCCCGGTCCATACTTATTGATGAGGGATACGGCAGCTTGAAGCTATTCTGTCCTGCAGGATCATGATGACTTCTGTCACGAGTGTAACAAGTTCCGCCGTTCTAAGCAAAGTGTCTGCAAACTCGATCGATGGTGAAGGGGGAGCACCTAAGCAAAGATGAATACTAAGATGAAACTGTCGGAAGAAAAACTTTCTATTTTAGTGTCTTCTTTCACGGTCCCTTTCATCCAATGAGAACCCCCGTATTCAAGGTAATTTTGTGATTTAGCTGCCCCCTCAGAAGAGATGAAATTTTTCGCTCATTTTTATCAAAACAATCACACCAAAATCAGAGATGTCCCATTTTTTAATTACTCGATTAACAACTAATCGATTATTTTTTGTTCGCTGTGCTGTCATTTTTCCACCAATGAGAGTGCAGCACATGTTTGAAACGATCGGTGATGATCGTGTGGAGATGTTAGTGCTTATATCGGCATGATCTAACCGATTATAAATAGTTTACTTTTCGGTTCGTTAATCGATTAAACGATTATTCGAATGAAAATCGGACATCACTAGATGAATGTGAAACGTCATTTCAAATATAAGGCCGTTCATAAATAATGATACAATTTGAAAGGGACCGGGACTAATCACAAATTACGTCTCCATGGTAACTGAAATAAACACGAGTGTTTGCCGGTTGACCTAAGTGCTGCCTCGATAGCCACGGAGGTAGAGAGGTGCTTCGGGATGCAGCGGTTGCCGCATATGACTGACGGCTTGAGTGCACCATAGATGTTGGAGGCAAATGACGTTCGATAGAATTATTTACATCATCGTTTAGAATGATTTGCGTTATGAGGCAGGACCAATACCATACGCGTTTAAATTTAAGATGGAAATCATTCTGCAGAGAGCATTACGCATTACAACTGAAGGCCCTATACCTTTTCATAACAATGTTCATCCTGTATTCGGGAGGAAAATCATCTGATTTCAAAACAACCGTCATTCGGTTGCAGACTCCATTTGAAAAAGCGATTTCGATTATCCGATTTGAATGGTCTGAGGTTTCATTCGATCAGAGGGTTATATTTGTGTACAGTGTATGGTCTGAATTTCTAAATACACCTTTAGCGCTATAGCCACCATCTAAATTAACAATACTGCAGCACACGCTTGTTAATACACACTTAATCTAGCTCGGTAAAATCTCCAACAGCCGATTACTTCGGCATTTAGTTTTGCTGATATCTCTGCAAACAATCTGTTTGTTAGCTGATATCTCAGCAAAACATTATTTGTTAGCTGAGTCTCGGCAATTGTTTGACTGAATCTCAGCAAAATAAATTACAGAATTACTCGGCTGTTGGAATCTCGGCGAAAAATTTTAAGTGTGTAAGTTCGTTGCCAAGTATATTTTTCTGTGTAGGGTAAGAAGGTATAGAACACTCCCATTTCCTACGAATTCGGGCTTAAGCTGTGTTTTCACCCTCGTAGAATATTTGAAAAAAATCATTAAAAGCATTATTTGAGAAATGGTAGCATTTTAAAATTACAATTTCATACCTCACTGTGCATAATTTTGAAATCTACATCATCTAGCTTTTTTTTCAAGATGGCCGGTTTTAACGCTCAATTGGGAATGTATACCTCAATGAAAACAAAGAGTGGGTAGCAGTGTTGGCATAATCATCAATATTTTTCCGCTTTCATGCTTGATATTGATTTTACAAGCACCTTTGATATAGCGAGACTATTAACAACGTGCAAAAATCAAGCTGAGAGTTGACTCGAATCAAAAATGATTCCGTTTCACATCGTTTTCTTTGAACAAGAAAGTGTTGTTTGCTATCTCTCTTTACTCTTCACCGATGACAGACACGAAGCTACTGCTGCCAGCAGTGACGGTAGTCTCGGGTCACGTTCGGATGAAAGTAAAATACATGAAACTCAAACTCACCACGGTTTGGTTCAAATTGTAGCTGGTGAGTTTTGTATCCTTGATATTCGCAGCTACGATATCACAGCTTGTAATATCGTCCGTAGTTGCTTGCTTGTTGATCATGCGTGATCTTGGGCATTGGTGATATTATTTTTTTTTAATATTTTACCAACACTGGTGGGTATCAACACTTATGAATAAACGTGCTGACTGAGCTACCAAATGAGTGCTCTACTGTCAGTGACTTGTTTACTTCCCAAACCTTCAGGCTCTCACGAGGCAGTGAATGTAAAGGCGGATGGCTGTGAAATTCATATGAAAAT